GTATATTACACTCCCTACAGGCTATGCACTATGGGACTCTTGCCTGCCCCCCCATGCACACGATGCAAGCGAGACCATGGACACCTGATCCATCTCTTATGGAGATGTCCAAAATTACACACCTATTGGACAGTGGTGGTTGATGCACTAAATTCAATGTTTCAGGTATCACTCCCCTTGAATCCAAAATGCTGCACAATTTACCATGCTGGATGATCTACACCAGTGGTCTCCAAACTGCAGCCCGGGTGCCAGATGTGGTCCTTTTCTTGCTTTTATCCGGCCCACGGGCACGTTTTCATCCACTGATACTAACAATGGGGTATAATTTCACCCACTGACACCAATGAAGTGGCACAATTCCTCCCAATGACATCAAACAATTTCTCCCAATGACGGCAGCTATAGGGCCCAATGAAACCAATGATGGGGTGCAAATCCTCCCAATGACCCCAACAATAGTGTCTTAATTCCTCCCACTGACACCAAAGATGGGGCATTGTCTATTCCCACTGACTTCAGGACCTTTTCTACTCCCAACAGCCACATTCCGGCCCCCCTAAAGTCTGAAGGACAGTAAACTGGCCCTCTGGTTAGAAAGTTGGGAGACCCCTGATCTAGACTTAGAGAAATTTACAAAAGAGACTATAGTAAGGTCTTGTTCCAAGCCCGCAAACTAACACTGGTCCATTGTAAGTCAGAGGATCCACACACTCTTGAGGAATGGATCAGGAATGTAGGCAGCAATTTAAGATTAGAGAAATATATATACCAATATAGAGGATGTCCAAACAAATATGAAAAACTATGGGCTCCATTGCTGGGGGTTCCTGGTCTGGCTCCTATGGATCTAATAAGAAGTCACTCTGGGTAGAGTTACACTTGTGCCCCTTGCTTATATATAGACTAGGCTTAGCCTAAGCAATTGTGAACTGATTTCAATAATGCTGATGTACAATTCTCAGGTAAAGCTTGATGTTGTATTGGCTATTTTAATTCTGTACACACTCTTTTAAGGGTAAGTTAAGATATACAGTAGTGTCTTGTACAGCAATGCTTTGGTTATATCTTTTAATAAAGCTTATTTTTGGATTTATATACAGTAAATAAGCCCTTACTATGCTATGAACTGGACTGCTAAACGGTCCAATTTCATGTGGGTAGCCCAGTCTGCAACAGACATATCCATTCAAGGTGATGCGCAAATCTGACCAATCCCAGTGTCCAGCACTCATCTTACTGCTACGTGGTGACAGTCAGTCTACATACTGCAGAGCAGGGGATGTTCCTATTGCATCATAGGATCTATATTTTTTTTTTTTTAGACTTCCAGAGCTAGAGAATGCTGAAGTTTAGGAGTGATTACAGACATCCTTCCCAATGTGTCTAAATTTTGGGCAGTGGAGTCCATGAACAGTAAAGACAATGCAAAAGAAAACTGTAATGTACATAGTGAGGTAACCCATGACATCCGCTTGATGTCATCATTCCTCTTTATGCTACTTCATTGAATCAGCAAATGTTGAAACTGAAACTCATTTGGGGTTATGTTATGCAGTTAGTCTACACACAGTGTGCTTTGTGGGATTCTTCTTTGTCTCTGACCAATTAGAGCTGATTCACATGTGTGGTGCAGATTGAAGCTCAGGTTTCACAGCTAATTGACACAGAAGTTGTTCAGCGGTTTATGTCAGGTTTACATCAGGTTCAGGACAGGATTAGCTCAGGATTTTATCCTGTTCACACACATGCGGTTTAGAAATGGTTCCCATAGAAGTCAATAGCCTGTAATCCGCACTTGAACCTGAAGGCACTGCTCAGAAATCATACAGAGCTCATTTTAAAACTGCACTGAATCTGCACTAAATCCGCACTGCCAGTGCATTGGATATATTTGAACAGGCACCAAAGGAAGCAATGTTTTTTTCAGGTCATGTAGATTGGATGTGGTTCAAACTGCATCCAATCCGCATATATATGTGAACCGGCAATTAAGATCTATGGCATTCCTTTCTATTCCTTCATTTCCCCTGCTGGCATCCTCTGATATTCTACTTTCCTCCCTCTGCAGGGGATGTTGCTGTTTCTTTATGCAGAAACTTGTCTGATGGTAGAGTCACTTTATCGACCGAGAGCTGTTAAACAGCCTGTGATTATCTGTATAAAAGTCGGCCAGCCTTGAAGTGATGTGACAGGAATGGCTGTATTCTAGGTGATCTTTACTTAATAAGGATCTCACTTCACTGAACTAGAGGGCTTTTTCTGCCTTAACAAACATTCTGAAGCTACGCTGTTAGGTAACTATAACAATAACGAATTTACCTTTGCAGAGAACTCTAAAACACACAAACAGGACCTATATCAACAACTGATTTATACCTTTGAATCACGGCATCTTGGAACAGAAGACTAAAGTTTTATATTGCTTAAAATAAGAAGGCAAAACACCCAAATAAAGCTTTGCTTTTAAATTAAATTGTGTTGACTAAAGTCAGAATTGTCCAAAGTTTCAGTTCTGTTCTCACCAACAATACGGACATCATTTTTCCATTTCTAATCAATAACTGAGGTTGACTGTTTTGTTTGTAGTAATACTCACTTAAAGTGTAATTTTGAAATAATACAACTCTGCAGCAGATGTGATATTTAACAATTCTAGGCTATAGACAGGTTATAAAAATGATTAGGTAATAATTACATCACAGCTTAGGTACAAAGGTCCAGACCCCAAAATGCCAATCCCAGTATTCTATATCACTTTTCTAGTTCTGGGTGAACAAACAGTAGAAGCAACCATAATGAGGCTTTACCCTTGGAACGTACAGGCATTTTCTATGTACATAGAATACGTACGTTTCTATGGACATATTTCTACAGGCAAATACAAGAAAGCTTTAGGCAAGCCATAGACGGTGCAAATTTATTTTCCTGCAACCTCCTCAAATCCCCCATCAACACAAACAGTGCTGACAGGAGAATACCTCCCGCCGAGCCATTGTGTTCTCCAGGCAGGACAGTGAGTGATTTTTGCTACCAGCTATTACAGCTGCTAGCAATAATTGCATGTAAAATCCAGCAGGCTTGGTTGTACCCAAGTTGATTGATTGATCACTCGAGTACATTCAGCCTGCCCATACATGATTCGATTGTACTGCTGAACTGGCCAAGATTTGGCCGGTTTTAGGACTGTCGAAGGACAGATATAAATATCAAGCTTTACTTGATAAGTGTGAAATCAGTAATAAGGGGAGTGATTCTCTTTTGCCAGCTAAAGCGGAACTGAAAGTGGAACTACACTACATCTGAGCATCACAAACCACAAATGCTTTTTAATTTATTTTTAATATTCAAAGTCAACTCCCCCATCCATCCACGTCTCCATGCTTTATTTTGCAGAGAAATCACTTTGGAAAACAAAACACCTCCCTAGCATTTATGATTGTGGCTATCTTGAGTAAGAGCAGATGATTCATGAAGCATTTACTTCCACGAATCTATCTGCCCTTAGTTCAGGCATGTAGGCAGGAGGGTGTGCTTATCTGCGAAAAGAGCTTGCCTCCTGAAGACTCCTGGGATGTATGACATCATTTGCCTAGGCATGAAAAACTGTAAGTAACTAAAAAAATGGAAGAAAAAAGGAAAAGTTTAAAACAAGTAAATATATTATACCTTCCTATCTATTTACTAATGCTAGCAGCATATGGATTATAAATAGTCAATGTTGATCGAGAGAGTGAAGTTCTGCTGTAAGAAACAGTGAGCAGGCAGGTTTATATTGCAGAAGATACATGCACTGTCTCTTCTGCAATAAAGAAGAGAACCTTGGAAACTACTAAGCAACTTAGTCACTCCCTGGTTATCTCTCGACTATTGTAACTCCCTCCTCATTGGCCTACCTAATCGCAGGCTATCTCCTCTTCACTCTATCATGAATGCTGCTGCCAGACTCATCCACCTTACTAACGTTCCATATCTGCCACCCCTCTCTGCCAATCCCTCCACTGGCTTCCCATTGCCCAATGAATGAAATTCAAAACATTAACAATAACATATAAAGCCATTTATAACTCTGCCCCAAATTACATCATCAACCTTGTCTCCAAATATCACCCTCTCTGCTCCTCGCATGACCTCCTGCTCTCTAGCTCCCTTGTTTCCCCTTCCCATGCTCATCTGCAGGACTTCTCCAGAGCCTCCCCCATCATCTGGAACTCTCTACCCCAAGCTATCATACTATCGCCTACTCTGCCCACTTTTAGGCGATCTCTGAAAACCTATCTCTTCAGGGAAGCCTATCCTGCCTTCAGCTAATAATGGAATCTTCTATTCCTCCTATCAGTCCATCCCCCACAGTTACTACCTTTTGTATAACCAGCCACTCCCTCTTAAATTGTAAGCTCCGAGGAGCAGGGCCCTCCTAACCCTCTTACATTGAACTGTTTTGTTGCTGTATTGTCTCCCTTTATATTGTACAGCACTGAGCAAACTGTTGGCGCTATATAAATCCTGTATAAAAAAATAATAATAATAATAATAATAATAATAATAAAATGCCCCTATCTGCCTGCACAATGTCTTCTCCGGCATTGTAAACTGAGTTATGCATGCTGGGAGTGAGAGGGAATGTACTTAGCTGCTCTTAGAACTTATAGCTTTTGTATGCCAGTGTCCAGTCTCCTGAAGGCAGTAGCATAACCCAATGAATACTCATTCTGTGCCCCATAATGTAAGATTAAGAAACACTACTTTCTCTCTAGATAAGTAGGTGTCTGGATTCTACTCATGATTGATGGAAGCTGAGTGCATACAATGAACAGAGTGGACTGTTTCTGAACTTGCACATTCAAAGCTACAACTACAATTTGACAGGGAAAGATAAGATTAAAGTCTTTAACTCTAAATATGATATTAAACATATTCTTTTATTTGTTAATACAGTTTCTTGCAAAGCTTGCCTCCCATTTAAATTCAGAGGAATTTCCTATGAAATATTCAGTGATCTCCCCATTCTCTTACGCCTTAAAGTGTTACCCAGGAACCTACATTCACTCTATCTGGTCTCCCACAGTACAACAGAACATGGAAATGCAATTATTTTAGTAAATATAAACTGCTAAATCCCTTTTCTCATCAGAAGTTAGAGCAATCTTGTGACTTCTACCAGTGTTCAGCTGAGCACTGGTTAAAGCTTGTAGGATGAGTTTTCATTCTGCTCTAGGAAGATGCAGGACCCCTGACCTCTGTCTGGATAGTGCTGATTGGCCCTTTGCTGATCACATGCACTCTCCCAAGAAAAAAAATCTCTCTAGCAATACACACTAAACTGAGCATTTGCAGAATGGCTATGGTTCAGTCTGTGTTATCAGGAGATAAGATATGGACATTTGAACAAGAGGAGGAGCAGAGAAGTTGGGATCACATGGCCTTTTTACACAATGCAGCCCTTAGGCTCCACAGTGAGTATAACAAGCGTGTTTTACTGCATACACAGACTGATTTTACTGTTGTGGGTTTAGTAACACTTTAAGGAATACCTTGGTGCCTGAATGTAGTTTTCATACAGTTTAAATTACCCCCTGAATGACTTAGCTGCTCAGCACCCAGTTCATAACTCAGCAGAAAACTCTCTAGCAATACACACCAAACTGAGCATGAGCAGAGTGACTCCACACGATATGTCTTATCAGGAGATAAGAGGGGGGTACTAGAAGAAGGAGAGGATCAGAGAAGTCAGCGTTTTTACACAGTGCAGAGGATTAACCCCTTAGGTTCCACAGTGAGTATAACAAGCATGCTTTACTGCATATATAGACTGATTTTACTGTTGTGGGTTTAGTAACACTTTAGATTTGTGGTAGATCTGTGCTGGCATAGTCTGTTTGCATCCCTGACATGCTGCTTGGAACTATAAGACCCCGTGCCAACACGCGGGCAATCCTGTACTCTTATAGTCAGCTCTGCAAGCACAGTCCCTGCCCAGCCCCGATCTGATGCTCAGCTGCTCATAGTGAGTATAGAACAGTGCCTTGAATTCAATAGAAGACAAAAGCATCTTGATCACATATTGGTCTCTTCACCTTCAAAAGACTTTAAAAGACTTTACAGACACCTGAATGCACACACAATTGTTTGCTGTGTATGCATTCAAGTTGCAATAGCGTTTTCTGAAAAGATGAGAAAAAAAAATGTGAGCGAGGGGCTTTTTTCTTTTATTTAATTCAGAGAACTGGGAAACAACCAGGGGCCAGCAAGCTGCAAGACCTCTTGCAGCAGTATATTTTGTGACATATAGAACAGAGGAGTTGCAGCAAACAGCTAGTTAGCTATCAGGGCAATTCTACTGTAACCTGTAGGCCAGTCATTCATGTGTATGACATCATTTGGCTGCCACAATTGAGATATGCACCCCCTAGTAACAGGCAAGGGGGATAGGAAGCGAGGCTGTGTAGTTGCATAACCACAGACTAAAAGTATAATAAATGGTATAGACATAATTGATTCAATGAAAAATGACACTTGTTACCTGTTCAGTAAACATCCCTCCCTCACATCCGTGGCCCTAAGCTGTAAACGTGACAGAAAGAACACAGGGATAGAAACAAGCGTGACAGTCTGGGAGCTTTACTGAGTAGAGTTGTCGTTTTTTGAATCAAGAGACTCAAGTTTAGGTGGTCTGGATATTATACATGTATACTGCCTGGGAGGATCTAATAGCCAACACATTCCACTGGAATCCTTCATTAGTGGGCACATTCATGAGCGAGGAAGTCCTACAGCTGATACAAACAACACGGAAGGGATTATGTTACTCAGTAGGCCTGGAAACATTTTGAAGTTGCCAGGAAGGGCTGTAGTCCATGCCTAGACAAAATGAAGCCTATTATTATTATTATACAGGACAGTTTGCTCAGCGCTTTACAATATATAGGGAGACAATACAGCAATGATACAGTTCAGTACAGTTGGAGCTTACAATCAAAGAGAAGCCTAGGCCAAATAGCTGAGTGTGTACCCCTGTGACCCCCTACTTTGTAAAGCATGTGGAATTAGAATTAAAAAAAATAAATAAATAATGCAGTCTAACAATCTAATCTATAATTTGGTTTGAAATCTCAGCTGAGGCTCTGCTACCCCCCCCCCCCAAATAAAAATACTTACTGGAAAAAGAATGAGAGACATTAGCAATAAACTAGGCTGGGAGGTCTTCTCTACCAGTCAGGACCCTTGGGCATACTGAATATCCTACACAAGACATTGTGAAGGAACCAATAAAACTCATCAGCCATGGTACTAGACATGTCATAACCTAACTGGATGTTACAAACACCCAGTTGAGTTTGTAAAACATACCTTTCTTTGTAAGACCGGCTATACATTATTCATTTTTTTTTCATTCAATCAGCAGGTTGAATGAGAAAAAAAAGCCATTTTCCCCATCCACATACTGGATGTGGATGAGGGAATGCTTCCTGCTGAGTTATTGTATTCTAACAGCGAGGAGAGTTTCCTGCTGTTAGAATACAGTGATCAGTGTTGCCAGCTAGTTGATAGATTGACTTGTGCACAACCAGGGTGCCCATGCCTGGATCAAAATGTGGTCAGTTCAGCAGGAATGATCCATGTATGGCCGGCTTAAGTCTTTGCTATACATCGATATCTATGAAAAACTAGGCTTTAAGATAACCTGTCTAACATGTATCTGTGTGTCACTGTGACTGTTATTCCTTTCCGGTAGTCAAAGGGTTATTATACAGACAGTAAACTACAGAAAAGAATCAGCATTTACTACTTTTACTCAAAATGAATATTTGACCAAAAGAGCGAATCTTGGAATATCTGCCTCGTTACCCTGCTCTGCCCAAAGAGTCAACTTCCCCTAATTAATTCTCTGCTCAGCCAGCCAGCAGATGCCGCATTTGACAGCGTTGTTGGATTTCAATCTACAGAATAATAACCAAAACAAGCAAAGAGATAGCCGAGTCGGTGGGAGAGTGTTTAGTAGGTGAATGCACACGCACAATCATATGGAGGCCAAAATTACTTATTCTAAATTGCCAGTGAATTCAATTTAGGAAGAAGCTGCTTTTTCCTGGCTGATATTGACTCTCTCTGGCCCAGCGCTGCGTGAAACCCACTGAATAAACTCACATAGCTGAATTAATATTTCCAACACTCTTGTACATGCATATGATGTCCACGCAATAAACTAACAAGTTAGAAAATGAATTACTAAAAGATGGACTTATGAAAATCTTATTTTATCTTTTATGAACAATAACAATAAATCCTTAAGATTCGTGACTGGAAGCTAAAGAGCCACTAAGACATCATAAAAAGCCACTAATATACCTTAGAAACAGATCTAAACATTTCATTACTTGATAAAACAATGCTTTACATTGTGTAGATGTAAGCAAGCTATTGTTTCAGAGAGCCAGTATGATTTGTTTCTTGATTTTGTTGTAAAATGTTTGTTACAATTGCATTTTTGTGTGCATTAAATCCCACAAAAATGTTACTTTTATACCAAAGGATCATAATACCCACATTATATAATCTATATACATACAGTATACATACCCCAATTCCAAAAAAGTTGGGATGCTCTATGATTTGCAAATTTCATAAACCCATATTTTAGTCTCAATAGAAAATAGGAAAAGTATCAAATGTTTAAACTAAAAAAAATGTGCCATTTTAAGAAAAAAATAAGGTCATTTTGAAATTGATGGCAGCAACACGTCTTAAAAAAAGTTGGGACAGAGCAACAAAAAAGCTGGCAACGTACAACCCCAATTACAAAAAAGTTGGGACAGGGCCATGTTTACCATGGTGTAGCATCCTCTCTTTTTCTTAACAATACTCTGTAAATGTCTGGGAATTGGGGAGATTAGTTGGTGGAGTTTTGGGACAGGAATGTAGTCCCATTCTTGCATGAGCATATGTTAATCTAAAACTTGGATATATCTTTCAGCATTGATGGTGCTTTTCTAGATGTGCAAGCTGTCCATTCCATACACACTAATGCACCCCCACACCATCAATACAGGCTTTTGAGCTGAGCACTGATAACAAGCCAGAAGGTTCCTCTCCTCTTAGTGAAGAGGAGGCAGCACCCATGGCTGCCAAAAAGAATGTCAAATTTCTTCTTAGCATGATAGAACTTTAACTTGTATTTTTAGATGGCATGGTTAACTGTGTTTTGGAAGTTTTCCTGAACCCATACGGTGATGTTCATTGCAGAATCATGCTTGCTTTTAATCCAGTACCGTCTGAGGGTCCGAAGATCCAATATTGCATTTCAGCCTTGTCCTTTGCGCACAGAGATTCTCCAGATTCTCAGAATCTTTTGATGAGATTATGTACTGTAGATGATGCTATATTTAAATATTTTGCAATTTTATGTTGAGGACCATTATTCTGAAATTGTTTGCCAATTTTTAGATGTTTTTTTTTTTACAGCTTGGTGAACCTCCACCCATCTTTACTTCTGCGACACTCCGACTCTCTAAGATGCTCTTTTTATACCCAATCATGTTACTGACCTGTTGCCAATTAACCTAATTAGTTGCAAAATCTTTCTGTTAGTACCACTTACTTTGCCAGCTATGGTTGCTCTGTCCCAGCTTTTTTGAGACACGTTGCTGCCATCAATTTAAAAAACACCTTATTTTTTTTTTTTTTTCTAAAAATGGTACATTCTCTCAGTTTTCAACATTTGATGTTTTCTATTTACTACTGGGAATAAAATTTGGGTTTATGAGATTTGCAGATCATTGCATTCAGTATTTATGTAGATTTTACACAGCATTCCAACTTTTTTGGAATTGGGGTTGTAAGTTTTTTCAAGAGATTTTAATACAGTATGGATAAATGCAATAAGTGAAATGAATAATAAATTATGAATGCCAAAGGTTTAAAACCAAATAAGAAGATATTATATTTTTCAGCATACAAATAATTTTTTTATATATTATGCCAAATAGAACAGGAGACTGTCACTCTATTGTTTCCGTTTGCCTCT